TTCAGCTCTAAACAGGAAAAAGTCATGTGCTGCCTTAAAAAGTTGTAGCTACATTTTTATGTTAGTATAACATGAAAGAGTTAAACACTTCCACCACTAAATGCTATGTCTCGGCATCTTGCAGGTCAATGTGAAGGAAAGTACAGCCAAACCTTAAGTTGCTCCCCTCTACAGTTAAGGAGAGTGGCTTCTGTCTGGATTAACACTCTTTTTCCTTCTAGAGGATCTATCTTTTGGATCAGTAGTTTTTTATTTATTTATTTATTTATTTTTATTAAAAGAATACAAAATACATCTACTACTACAGAAAAAAAAACCTATATAATACAAAACAAAAACAGTACAATTACCCATGTGCACCCATCACCATCAGGAATAGCATTACACTTCATTCCATCCATTTTCACTCCAAAATTTCATTGTTTCTTCCCTCGGTGTAAACCCCCTCCCTCTCCGAAATACATGTTCTAAGAATACATTCCATATTTTCTTAAAGTTGTTATTTTTCATTTGGCCTCTACTTATTTTCATATCACATGTCAGTTTATCATTAATTGCCATGTCCCATAATTCTCTATACCATTCCTCCAAGTTAAATTGATTATCATTTCTCCAATTCCTTGCCACAATTATCCTTGCTGCAGTAGTAAACTGATCCACAAGATAGTTCAGAAGCATATATTTCAAAGGCTATAGTCCTTACCGGCATTCACTTTTCTGTTACTGCCTGGGCCTTTCAAAAGCACTAATTTTTGCACTCCTTCAGGTGTCAGTAGAAATTGTCTTCCATGTTTATAGTTTTTGCCATGGCCCAACGATTAAGCAAAAAGGACTAGATTACTCAATAAACAGCATTGCAGAACTGGCAAAACAAAAAACAACATATTGTCCAACTAGAACAAAAGGTAGCCAGAGAATATGCCCTATCTCATGTCTGAAGCATTCATCCCCAGATACAGAGAGTCTCCTTAGGGATGTGTGGAGAATTCCAAAAAGCTGTGTGAAATTGCAAGATTTCCATAAGGAAAACCATGTTTGCTAAAATGCATTCCATGACAGGTATTTGTTACTAGAATTCAAAACTTCTCAAGAAAAAAATGCTTATTTTTAAATTTAAGAATAATGTTTATCAAGCTTTGGTGTTTATAATTTTAAATGGCAAATTCAATTTAGTGTTAAAAGAGGGTTGCTTCATGGTAAAGGAGAAAGAGGCAAGGAAGCCTGATTTTTTTCAAAAATGAAAAGGGGCCCTGATGAAAAAAAAAGTTTGGGAACTACGCATCTAACTCATCAAGAGTGCTGCACTGCAAGAAGCAATTAAACAAGAAACAAAATAAAACAAAAGCAAAAAATAAAGAAGACAAAGATGTGGCACTTTAAAGATTAACTGCTGTATTTTAATATGAGCTTTTGAGGAACAAATCCAGTTCTTAAGATGTAAGAGAGAGAATCCATGGACTATATGGGAAAAAAATCTTACATGGCTCTAAGATAAAAAGACAGCAGTGGTTGGTTGATTCCAGTTGTGGCACTTCACATCTAGTGATGATTTAAGACCCCTATTTGGTATACAATTCTTTTCTTTTGAAGCTTTGTTCTGTAAACAGCAAGAAGGCACTGATTCTAAGCTGCTACTTTCGTTGTTACCTGCAAAGTAGAATCTGCGTACTGAAGAGACAGGGGCACAGATATCAGGGCCTGACAGATAAGCTGTCTCTTTCTCTTGCTCAAATCAGGATCAGAGAAAGTTCTCAAGAAGGGACAAGAAAGCAGCCACAATAGGCTCTGTTTCCCCGGCCAAAAGATCTAGAGAATACTGGAGTCTTCCTTAAGTCTCTCAGTGCAGAGAAAGAGACAGTCTGCTCCTTACTCTGCTTTCATCTGTTTCTTAATGGCATTGAGCAATAAGGTCTCTCCAGGCTGAGCCCACTTGAGTAAGCGTGCGCCGGAGTCACAGGATTGGCTGAGCGTCACACACAAGGTTTGCTGAAAGGCTTGTTAAGGAAGCACTGCTGACCAGGCCATCCAATTACATAATGCTTTGAAAAAGAAATGTGCTGCAGCTCGCTGGAGAGTTACGCCTCCCGTGGGTTCCAGCAAGAGAAGGAGGAACTGTGTATTCATCCTCTGCCCCAAAAGCCACTTGCAGGATGATGCTGCCACTGGGAGCCACTAAAGGCAGGACTTCTCTACCCATAGCTGGGGAAGGCTTAGGATAAGACCATCGTACTGTGTAGGTGCTGTTCCTCTGGTAATCCTCTGCACCTTTATCTAGTAAACAGGACCACCTTTTCTCCAACAGGATATCCAGAGGCAAGCAGAAGAAAATAACTCCTATCATCCTGGCTGTGTAAAGGGGGAAGGAAAAAAGGAATCCCAGTGCATCTCTATGGACCTAAACAGAGAACAGTGCTTCTTAGGGCATTACATGTATCAATAACCCAACTTTCTGTAATATCTTGTGGGTATAAAATAGTTGTCTCCCTAGAAGACTCTGACCTCTGCCACATAAACTATCCTTAGCATTTGTGTGACAGACAAGTCTAAAAGTCATACAAGTTTTCGTCCTGGTGAAGACTTGCGAATTCAAATAATTAACACCTCTATATTCCCATTCCTGTATTAATGAATGAATCTCTGTATCCTCACCTGAACATGGGGTTATGTATAAATATAGAGGACATGTATTTGTGTTCCATGTGAAGAAGTGGATTTTGATCCACAAAAGCTCATACTGAAATAAATCTGTTTGTCTTTAAAGTGCTATAAAATGTACTTTTTCTCTATCTGCCTCCCCCCCTTTTATTTTGCTAGCATGCTGAGACAGACTAACACAGCTTTTATCAGGGTGAAAATAGGCAGGAAGGACTATCCAGGAGATCCAGAATAACAAAGAAGGCATCCATGCAGGTGCCTGCTGTTTCAAATGGTCATTTATCCTTGGAATCATGTGACAAGATTTAGAAATAATGCTGGGAATTTTCCCCGGGGCACTTGGGATCACAGTCAAACCATGTAGTTTAAAGAAAGTATTTCATAAAGACGTGAAAGCCTGAAGATCTTTATTTGTCCCCTCAGAAAAGTGAGAAGATCCCGGCGTCTCTGGAAACTGACCCAAGAGCCAGAAACTGTTAAGGAGACAGAGATCAGGACAGAACTCTAAGCTCTAACCTTTGGATCTTCTAATCAGAGCCAAACTGTTTGGGGGGGGGGATAATATCTGGGAGGAAAGGTCAGATTTTAAAGACAAAAGACAGATTTTTTAAAACACCATCTGATCCTTGAGCTGTAGATTTCCTATCTCGAATATCTTACAACCCTACAATTTTATGACTCCGCAGAAAGACTAGCCATTCGCTCTTCAGTGGTTTGTTCTTCAGTAATAACCAGACAAACGCCATAGGTAGAAATGTTGGTATCTGGGCCAATCAATCAACACTTTCTTCCAACTTCTCAATAGTACTTATGGGTGCAAATCCCTCATCCCAGAAAAAGGGGAAGAATGCAGTACCACCACCCCCCCAATGTTTATGCTTAAAACAAAACTTTTAAAAAAGGAAACAGGGCCAGGAGGTATGGCAGCTTATTTTCCTAACATTCATCAGTAGATCCACCTCTAGATTTCCATTCTCTCTAAATTTTGATGCCCGGGGGCAAAGCCCCAGTTGCTCCACCTCATTTACAGTCCTGCCCCAAATGGTCCAAACAGTGATCCATGTACTACTTTTTGCTTCAAGAGTCACTGAGGTGCTCTGGGCCCCATGGCCTCAGACCCCATGAGGGATACAGCCAACTGGGAGCACATAAAGTCTGTCATGGTCTGCAGGTACTCTAGTGTTATACTGTGACGACGACTACAGTAAAATGTGAGTAACTAACAAAAAGCCCCTTTTACTAACAAGAGGTACAAATCATAGGTCACCAATGGCATTAAAAAAAAACCCTCAATAAGCTGAGTGAGCACTACAGACAGGCCCTAAGATGGCTGAGAAGGTGGTACTGGTGGGTTCAAGTCAGCCAATCTTTTCATTAAATTATTAATCTGAGGGTGGAAATAAAGAGGCAAAACCTGCCTATCAGAACATGGGAGGCAAAGTTAACAGAGAGATTTATCTTCACAGCAGGGATTGATAGGTTCTTACAAGAGTTAAGGGACTAAAGAACAACTTCAACATCCCAGTCCAACAGATCAGCATTCATCAGAGCTAAAACTGCACAAACTTGTCCCGCCTAGTCTAATAGGAGCAGAGCCGTTGAAAGAAAAATACATGATTCCAAAGGACAAGGAGAGGAAGTTAATAACCCGGTGTCACTGGATGAACTACAGGAAGGAAAATATGTGGACAAATACAGGAGTCTCCACAAAATGCTTTTTCTTGTCCCCTCAGAAAAGTCCCTAGGAAAGAGGCAAAAGATCTCTCCCTCCCTTTCTCTCTGTGGCCTAGGTTAAGGGAGCAGATCTGCTGTGTGAGTTGTTTCTTTCTTGGACTGTGTGAGGCCACTCAGTGAAGTATTCCTTCTGTGATCTCTTTCTCCTAAGAAGAAAAAAAAAAGAGCTCTGAAGCAGCTTCAGATCTAAGGCCCATCTGGTCCAGAATCGTCCTTCTGAGAGTGACCAACTAGATGCCTTTGGGGAGCCCATAAACAGGACGTAATCCTAACACAGCACTAACACTAACCTTACGGGTCTCTTCTTTAGACTTATGAAAGTTTGTCTCAGTGGTCATGTCAAGTGATCTTCCTGAGAAGGCCCTGAATTCTGGAACTTCATCCTTGTATCTCTTCTACGATTTCTTATTAATGTAGTGGGGCTTCAGTTTGATTTGGTTTTGCCAAAGGCTTCACTTGGCTGATACGAGGATAATTGCCACTTAGTATTTACTGAACTCATACCATTTTTATACAGCCTGTTTAAAGAAATGCTCAGCAGATTATGCAATAAAGTAACACATTATCAACCCAGAAAGAAAAACAAAAATGGCACCAAGCAGGCTTCCTACCTCTTGATGTCCCTCAGAAACTTCTACTTTTTTCCCCGGGCTCTTTCTTTTCAGGCACCTTTGACATCCAGAGAAGCACAAACAGGCTGAAGGTCACAGCACGGGGATGAAGGGTTTGTTTCTGTAGGATGGCTCTTTGGTGAATTTCTGCTGGAATTTTTCAGACCCCTCCCTTACTGTTTTCAAAGCATCTTTTGGTTCCAGGAAAGGGCTAATAAATCAAAGGTGGCGAAACAGTTTGTGCATCTGATTGTCCAGCTGACAGATGAAGCAGACACTCAACGATTGCATATCTCTCTGAGCAAGTCCTTCGTAAGAACTGTCCCATCCTAAAAGAAGAAAATAATGCTGAGTTCATATTTAGGACAATAAGTCAGCTGATGAGCTTTCTATACTTCAAACAACCTTTTGCCTCTGTCTTGAAAGAATCTTAGTGGTGCATTTTAGCCCAATCAGATAAATAATATAATGCCCACCCAAGGTCCTTATTACCAAAGACTTGTGCTGTAATTTCTGCTGTGCCTTATATTATCTGAAGAAGAAAACAGGCTTTCTTTGGTTATGTGTAAAGCTTGAGACCAAAATACTTACTATGACAAACATGTCTCTAAAAAGGCACATACTAAGTGTCATCCAGAGAGCTCCCTTGTATAGCACCTAGGGAAGAAATATTGATGGGGATATGCATGAGGGCACCTAAAACAAGAGAACATGTTTAATGCTCCAGTTAGGCAGGAAGAAAGCAGTTGGAGGCAAGAATCTCCTTTGGCCAAAAGCCTGGAAAATCATCAGTTTTATTCTATGAAAGAGGTGTCAGGAGGTCAAAGATCCACATTTTGACACCAACTGAGGCCAAGCATGGGGGCAAGAAAGCTCTCTTCTTGTCCACTCTCTTGCACTGACCATTCTGGCCTTGACAGGCTTTCCAGTGCATATATTGTCAGAGCATTGCAGTCTGGATCCATAGCCCTCCTCCTGGTCCCAACTTGGAATATCCAATAATTTTTACTTCTGAGCACACTTATTGACAAGGACTCAGGGCAGGGCAGGGCAGACCCCGACTTTAAAAATACAGCCCAAGAAGAACACCTGAAATCTGTCCAGCTTTTGATGTCTAGTTTCATGAATACTGAGGTATTTTAGAGTGGCTAAGTATGCCACTTTACTGAGAGCCATCAGGTATTTAAAGAGCTGCCCAAGCCAAGCCTGATTGGAAGAGAGGGAGAGTAAATTATAGGTCTGACGTTGCCGATCAACAGTTGCTACCCAGGCCGCAGACTAACCAGAAATAAAATCATAATGTCACGGTCTTCCCTTCACTATTTAGTTATTATTATTACTATTCTTTTCACTTATATGCCATTTTTCTCTCCAAAGAGACTCAGAACAACATACGATACAAAAATGATAAAATGTACTGTATTTTTGTTTAAATGGCAGCAGTTATTATCTAATTCTGCACTTATACAAATAAAGTAGCATATGAAGGTTTTGTGTAAATGGGGGTGCAACACTTCTGGTGTTGTGTCTTAGCAATACATAAATAACCTGTTTTCCCTCCTCAACCTTGTCCTATATTCTGACACTGTGCAGGACAGTCCATACCAGTTCATGGGCAAAATTCTGACTGAGGTTAATTAATTATATTGAGCCAATAACCTCCCATGTTAGGATGGTGATATTCATAAATTAATGGATTGCTGCTGAAACATTAGCCTGTCAACAAATGGCACCATGCCATAGAAGCCTTAGTGCTGACGACCTTTCATTAAAATGAGTGTATTGTTAAAATGGACATAAATCATTCATGACTATGGGTTTTTGTTTTTGGTTTGTTTGGGGTTTTTTTGGTCAAACTGTTCATGCAAATAAGCAGTAAGTTGGGTAATTTATTTACCTTTTGGAGATTATTTTTATGGTTTTATTATTGTATTCCGTGATTCACAGACACTGGCCAAGTGCCATTTTGTGCTCAAGTTGCCTGTTCATTGCTTTGCTGCTGCTCTGTTTGTCAGCTTCAGACAAGATGGAATCAGTTACTGTCTTACACATTATGAGCTCCTGGCATGGTTTGTGGGAGTGTAAGGATCTTGTCCTGGTGAAGTTGTACAACTATTTCCACGTATTCAGAAAGCACCTGATACAAAGTAAAACACTTGACAAACCTCTGACAGAAAGAACCATAGATGCTTTAAGCTCCTTAGGATAGAGAACAGACAAAACTTTTTTGTGTGGAGTACTAGCTACAGAGATAGATAGTGCTGTGTAAACAATAGAAGAATGGGGTGCTTCCAAGGCTCATGAAATATGGGCCTCCTCTGTCACCAGTCATGAACAGACACAGCTGTAGATCCTGGGAGAAGCTTCCATTGTCTTCTGAGGCTCTTTCATAACGAGCAAGCTGCAAGTGTCTCTTGCTCCATGAGAGAACATAGGAACTGGGATGGCTGAAGGGGTGCATCAACACTAAATAAGGCATCACAGCACCAGGAAAAAGTTCTACAGATATTGCAGGCTAGAGTAAAACCCACAAAGCCTAGGATTATTTAAGAGTTCTGTATCCAGAATGTTTCTTCAGCGTACAACATTCCTGTTAAATAGGATGGCAATATCAGAACTGAAAAGTTACATTTATTGCTTACTATCAATGCACCCATTTCTCTTTCTGTGTGAATGAATAGTAAGCAATAGTAACTGATAAAATTGAATGCCTGCTCTAACCCATGTTTCTTGTTATTTGTCCACACCAGGAACTTGGTTTTTATACTTGCTTACACATGTGTACTTGCTCAAACGTCCACAGACTCCAGTCTGTTTCCATTTCTGGACACACCTGATAGCAGAAGCAGCATTTCTTGTCAAATTGCCAGTGTTAGGCAACTGATACCTGCTTTTCTCAGATTAGACAGCTGGCCCTCTATGAAACACTTAAAGCAGGATAAAAGGCTGGCCTTGAAAACTGAAGAGAACCCAAAGAAAACACAGAAGGAGAGAGAGCCTCTTTGAGGATTGGCGGCCATGTCTATTAATAAGACAACAATCCAAGGGCTCCTCTGGATTCTACATTCTTGTTGAACTAGAGCAGTGTTCCAAACTCCACAGATGGCAACTGTTAGCTACCTTGCTTCCAGCCACATTTTACAGGTTTAATTAACTAATTGTCAGTGTAAATATAATACCATCCATTACAGCTGTTGTGAATTGCCACTGACTTTGTCACATGGCCCATAGATTGTAAGTTCTCAATTTTTTTAAAAGCATATTATGTATTTCTGTATTGTTTATGTGAGTTGTGTTATTAAGGTTTTCTTCAGTTATGTTTTCTTGGGGGGGGGTCTCTGCTTTTTTAGTTTTAAAAATTAAAATTAAAAAACACTAAAGACAACCAAGATTTCAGAAGTACCTCACTTTTTAAAAATAAGTCTTGTGTTTTTTTCTTGCTTGAAATAAAGAGAATCAAGAGTTCAGAACCTCACAGAAATACAATTCACCTTCAAAAAAGGAAAGAAGTGGACTTTCAGTTACATTGGTAGAGGCTAGTGCAACCTATGTTTATTTCTGCAAATGGAATTAGCTCTCCAATCTGTTGAAGTTACCCAAATCTGTTGTACATTTTTGTGTTTATACAAAATTGTCGCAAACTATACATATGGCCCCACTATTTACGCCCCTCCCCTTTATTTTAATCTATACGCACCTGTCAACAGAGGATAGCCATATACAGTATCTAATGAACTGGGCTCAGGGGTTTCCTGCCATAATAAATACTGTATGTTTATCTTGTAATAAGACTTCTGTTTTTGACAGTTTTGAAACATATGGTTGACCATTAAGAAACTGGTAGCTTACCATTCTTTACAAGGGGAAAGGGAACATGGTGCATTTAATGCTTCCTCTAAAGCAGTGGTTCTGAAACTTGTGTCCCCGATGTTCTTGGACTGCAATTCTCAGAAATCCTGGTCAGCACAGCAAGTGGTGAAGGCTTCTGGGAATTGCAGTCCAAGAACATCTGGGGACCCCAGTTTGAGAACCATTGCTCTAAGGATACATGAGGAATCTCTGACCCTCTAAATATTACCAACTCCAGTCTTCATCAACCATGGTAAGAACTGGAAAGAAAAAAGAGATCTTGTACTTAAAGAGGTTCCAAATTTCAAATGACAGACCCAAACTTAAACCTATAGTTATACCCTACCTTTTATCCTAGCTCTTTCAGTGCTGATCAGCAAGCTGATGTAATTAGCAAGCCTATTTCTATTAGTTAAACAACACAAGTAAGAGTAGCGTGGCTAATCAGTTCGTCAACTCACAGGATCAAATTCATACTCACTTCTGAATAGAATCAAAGTAGTCCTCCAAATGGAACTTTAGTGTGATTTGAGCATGCAATCGTTCAGGATACATTCGAAGTTCAACTTCATAATTGCCTGGCAGCAACCACTTATTCCCAATTCAGTGAATTCAGTCAAGTCTCTTTTTGACAGAGTTGGGCTCTTTCATTTTACAGAACAGGAAAATTATTCACCGCAAGTCAAGTTGAGAATCAAAGGAACCAACTTGATACATGACTCTGCTAAATCTGAGCAAAAGTAAGCCTAGGAATTAAAGTTATTCCACATAGGCAAATATGGGTTTCCTATTATGTGTACATTCACTATAAAGCTGCCGCTAATCTTAGTAAGCGTACTTCTATGATATGCATTTGCCACATTTGTTTTTTTGTATTTTCAAGCATACACTTTCACTTTTTAATGCATGAATGTGATGTGCCAGTTCCAGTATGGTGACCTAGTAGGGTTTCCAAGGTATGTGAGATATTTACAATAAACTTTTACCAGGCCCACTCTTCAGTCAGTTTCCATGGCTGAGCAGGATTTGAACTCAGGTTTCCTGAATCCTAGTCCAACTCTCTCGCCACTATATTACACTAGCTCTCCACTTTTTAGCTTCTTTTTAGCTTAACATTTTAGACAGATCCCTAAAATACATAATTTATCATCCACAAGTCATCATCAAGCACTGTTCACACCTCCTCTCCCAAATGCAAGAGAAATAAAAGCCCGCCTGCACAACCAACATGGTCAACTACACACATGATGCAAATCAAAACATTTCTATTGATGAGCACAGAGGCTCAGCTAAGCATGCTTGGGTTTGGTGCCAAAAATGGGGCTGCTCTTGTTTAAAACTGGCCAAGTGGCCTGAAGAGAATGCCTCACATAGAGCAACTGAGTTCTCTGTGACTGGAAGCCAAGTGGTTCCCTTCCAATCCGAGGAGACAAGTCCTGGGCATGGTAGATTGTGGCTCTCACTCAATAGGAGGAAACAT